CAAGGTGGGGAAGCATCCAGGTCTTCCACCCGGGGCTGTCTAGTGATTGGAGGGGATCTGAGCCTTCATGCGCAGCTCTCAGATATGGATCAAACACCACCGATCGTATTTCAGTTTCTGGCAGTGTCACTTTGCTTTGTGCTGTGGGTTGTGGAAGAAGCAAGACTAGAAGAGAAGAACCAGTGGCAAAGAGATGCGAAGCCAAAAGCAAAGAGGCAAAAAGTAAAAGCCCACCTCACTTACCCCAGAGACAGGCCAGGAGGACAAACTTCATGTTGGTGGCAAAGATACTGTGTGCTCGTTGTGTCCACGGGAGAGCAGGGCAGGGAGGAGGCAAGACCCACATCCAGGCCATTGGCTATTTGAGAAGTCACCCTTGTCATGGCTCCTCCCCTTTGCCCCAAAAACTTCCCTCTGTGCCCTGTGGCAGATGCTCAGCAAGTACATAAAGCCAAACCTCTGTCGGGAAGAAACTCTTTGTGCCATGAGCAGCATGTAAGCTGCAGGATTGTGAAATTAGGCTGTTTCGGGAATTGGCCGAGCAAACAAATCCTTTCAGGACAGATGGTTCAGGACCATGAGCAGCAGGGATGGGGGGAGATGGTATTTTGCAAGTTGCTTTCTGGGACTGGTCCAGGCTTATCTAGGAAAACAGGTATGATCCCACTGCACTAATGCAGCACAAGAAGATGTAAGAAAACTTTTCCCACTGCTGAAAGCAGTGTATTTCAAAAATGGAAGTTCCATTCCCGTTTTTCTCCCATGCTCATCCCAAGAGAAGGGAAGTCTTGGTGAAATTTAGTTGTACATTTTTTACGTGTGTTTACAATCCAGTTATTTTTTTTGTTGGTGTAAGACCTCCTCCTGGACTTGACGAAGCCAGATGTGCAAGTGGCAGGATGCTCTGGATGGGACAGTCAGGCTCTGCCTGTCTCATAACAACCCTATGAGGATCAGTCACCCAGATACACACAGGGCTGAGCAGGGATGTGATGCTGCTGCTGTCACGGGTGGGATCTACCTCCTGCCAACTTCTCAATCTGGAAAATGCACTTAGATACCTTGTACGGTCAGCAGAAACCATCAGGCACTTCCAGGAAGCATTCAAGTGTCAGACTAAGACAACTGTACCGGAGATGTCTAAGGGGGAAGATGTCCCAGGGCTGGCTGAGGAGTTGGATATCCTGAAGGAAAGGCAATGGAGACACTGGGAGAATTGCACCACATCTCCCACCACACAGCAAAATCCCTGACCCCCTCTTTGCATTCGCACTAGCTCTTCAGACAAGGTTGGCGCGCTGGACCATTGCCCTGCATTATTTCCAGGAAGCTGGTACAAAATAGCTCAGCTGAAGACTTGGCAAATGTTTTTTACTTCTGAAGACACACCAGAATATCTTTCATCCCAGGGAGCACACATCAGATGGAGAAGAGTTTGTGCAGCTCTGAGGTGCTCCTCTGCTTAGACTGTAACAACCCAGGGACTACTTGCAATGCCACCTCCTTTGTCTTCCCCGTGCCAAGAAGGAAAGTGAAGATACCCTCAGAAGATGATAGACGAGGAGAGAACATCCCTGGCAGAAAAGAAGGGCAGAAGTAGGGCACAGCTCACAGGGAAGGTGAAGGAGGGAAGGGGTAGCAAGTCTTTTCTTCACAACAGCCAGTCCAGCAGATGAAAGGTGAAGGTGACGGGCCAGAAAATCCTGGCCTGAACAAAGACAAATCTCGGGCTACTGAGGGCCATGACCTTCTCAAAGACATGCATCAGTCCAGGTTTAATTTGTGTCCATATTAAATTCAGAATACAAGCTGAGGGTGGTGGGGGAGAGCATTGCATCCAGCTGAGAGCAGATGAATCATTGAATGCATTGAGTTGGAAGGGACCCTCAAAGGTCATCTAGCCCAACTCCCCTGCCATAAACAGGGGCATCTTCAACTAGATCAGGCTGCTCAGAGCCCTGTTCAACCTGATCTTGAATGTTTCCAGGGATGGGGCCTCCATCACCTCTCTGGGCAACCTGTACCCATGTTTCCTTGCCCTTAACAAAAAAAATAAATCTAGTCTGAATCTCCTCTCTTTTAATTTAAAATGATTACACTTATTCCTATTGCAAGAAGCCCAACATCCAAAGACTGTTCTCATCTGTTTGCTTTGTTTTTAGGTTTGTTTACTGAGGACATCTTCAATTTCTCTATCTCTGTCCTGTTTTCTATGCCCAGGTATCTGCTATTGTCTGCCTTTTAGCCAATATCCAGCAGGCCAACAGTTGGCCAACACCCTTCTTGAAAGTCCCTGATGTGCAGAAGAGACCTCAGCACCCCCAGGAAAAAAAAAAGACAACGATCACAGACATCTCGGTCACAGGAGGACCTCCAGTTCCAGAAGTCTCAGGTGAGGTTTGCTTCTTCACAACATCCATCACTTGTTGAGCCCTGGCCTGCTGTGCTTTGACGCTGATCCGTCAGTCCTTCCTGCTTGCGGGGAGTCTGGCGAGTAACTCCTGGGCTGTGTCTGCACAGCTGATCATGTCCTTGATCGTTAATCCCAACAAACCCATGTTCATTGATAACACTTGGAATGTTACATTCTGGGTGGCTACACATGGAAGTATTGGCTTTGTGTTCAACATTTCTCCAGGAGCTAATTTTAGAATGAATCCTCTAAAATTCATTGCAGTTCTTTCCTTCGCCCCTCCCTTCTTCGGGGGACACCTTCTTGCTCTTTACAACTACCTGAAAGGAGGTTGTAGAGAGGTGGGGTCAGTCTCTTCTTCCAAGGAACAAGTGATAGGGCAAGAAGAAAAAGCCTCAAGTTGCTCCAGGGAAGCTTTAGGTTGGACATTAGGAAAAATTTCTTCACTGAAAGAGTTGTCAAGCTCTGCCACAGGCTGTCCAGGGCAGTCATGGAGTCACCATCCCTGGAGGGATTTAAAAACCATGTAAATGTGGTGCTCAGGGACTGGGTTAAATGGTGGCCCTGGCAGTTCTGGGTTAATGGTTGGACTCGATGATCTCAAAGGTCTTTTCCAACCTACACAACTCTCTGATTCTAATATTGTTTATCTCACCATTTTTGCTAGAACTGGTAGCACACCCAAAAACATAGTTGCCTTCAAGTAGTCCTCTTTGTCTTCCCAGCTGCTCTCCTCTTTGATGAGCAGCCCCAGGAGAACAATTCAGCTGGCTGCAGCTCCCAAACAAAACATCCTGGCCAGTGGATGTGAGGCGAGATGTGTTTCATCTGCGTGCTCTCAGGCACGCGCTAATCAACTCTGCCTGCAGAAGCAGGATGTGTTGGAGGGCAGGGAGGTGGGTCGCAGAATCATAGAACAGTTTTGGTTGGAAGAGACCTTAAAAATCATTGAGTCCAACCTTTGTCCTAGCCCTATGAATACCACTACGCCATGTCCCTCAGCACAACATCTACCTGTCTCTTAAATACCTCCGCCCCCACACCCGCCTCTCTGGGCAGCCTGTTCCAATGACCGACAGCCCTTTCAGTAAAGAAATGCTTCCTAATATCCAACTTGAACCTCCCCTGGCACAGCTTAAGGCTGTTTCCCCTTGTCTTATGACTCACCACTAGTGAGAACAGATCAACCCCCACCTTGCTCCACCTTTCTTTCAAGGAGTTGTAGAGAATGAGAAGGTTTCCCCTCAGTCTCCTCTTCTCCAGGCTAAACAGCCCCAGATCCCTCAGCCATTC